TCAATACTTATTTTACCCGCTGTATATACATATACAGCGGGTAAAATAAGTATTGAACACATCACCATTTTTCTCAGTAAATATATTACTAGAGGTGCTAATGACATGAAATTTTCACCAGATGTTGGTAACAACCCAAGTGATCCATACATACAAAGAAATCAAACCATAAATGTCCAGAAATAAAGTTGTTTGTATTAATTGTGTATGGATCACTTGGGTTGTTACCAACATCTGGTGAAAATTTCATGTCATTAGCACCTCTAGTAATATATTTACTGAGAAAAATGGTGATGTGTTCAATACTTATTTTACCTGTTGTAGCTGCGAAACAAATACAAATCTGTTAAATATACCTCTACATCGCTAGGCTCTCCTCCACCTGTTCCCTACTCTCACTACAAATGTCCTGAGACATCACAGTCCATGGAGTCTCCAGGCTGACCTCACCTGTCCATCAGCACTGGTGTCATTTATAAATAACTGGAATAAACCATCGGTGTTGGTGGATGTGATCACCAACCTTTGACGGTGAGGCTGCAGGAGCTCTTGACCTGCTCTCCTCTCTGATTGGTCAGGTTGATGCTATAGGTGGCTTCRTCTCCCTTCTGGGCATCTTTGATCCTCAGGGAGAAGACGTTGTCTCTCTGGACCATGGTGTACTTGCCGCTCTCAAACAGCGTCTCGTCGTTCTTCAGCCACTTGGCCTTGGCTCCCTCTGTGTTGACCTCGCAGTTCAGCACCACCTCCTGACCTTCTTTACCCTCCRTGTCCTTCAGAGGGGTGATGATCTTCAGTTTCTCTGCAAGAAGCAGCGGATGATGATGATGAGGAGGAGGAGGAGGAAAAAACAGTCTCAGTCTGTCTGGATCTGATGACTCTGTGTGTGGTGRAGCTTACCTCTCACGGTCAGGTCAGCGCCGGCTCTGGTGGCTCCGATCACGACCACGTACCCACCCTCATCTTTCAGCTCGCTGTCCTTGATGACCAGAGTTCGCCTCTTGCCGTCACTCACCATCTGGTACTTGTCTCCTGCCTCCAGCTGCTTGTCGCCCTTCATCCACTTCACCTCAAAGGTTTCCTTGGAGACKGAGCAGGTGAACTCCACCTTCTGGCCCTCCACCACTTCCTGGTTCTGAGGTCTGGAGATGAACTCAGCAGCCAGTTCTGCAGACAGATAAAATGGAAGAGTTTGACATTTTCTTTTGTAAATATTCCTCAGAACTCCGCTGGACCTCATGAAACCATCAGGGTCCAGTTTCTTAGTCCCTACCATTGATCTGGAGGTTTCCRGAGGTTCTGATGGTGGGACTGAGCCTGCAGTTGTACTCTCCGGCGTCACTCATCTTCAGGTCCTGGATGACGAGGATTCTCCTCTTGCCATCAACGATCTGGTCGTAGCGTCCGCCCTCAGGCAACTCCTCGTCACCTTTGTACCAGACGACGTCAGCGCTGGGCTTGGAGACCTCACAGATCAGCCTCACACTGTCTGTCTCCGTCCCCTCCACGTTGGACAGATTCTTGGTGAATCTAGCCTCCTCCTCTGCAGAGACAAGAAGAGGGGTCAGCTGTCACAGAGATGTTTCTACTAGCTTTAATCGAATTCACTCCATTCATCAGGTGATACTCAAAACACTTTAAACAAAGACATTTTTATTAGGGCTTGCCGTATCAAATGAATGATTTCAACTTCTATTATTCACCTCAAAAAAGGATCTCTAACTTTATATCTATATTTTTATAGTCCTACATTTATACGTCCCCAAATGGCAACATGCACCCCACAAGTGTTACATCAAATCAACCGGATTGGTGGTGGGAGTTGTGCTATTACTTTTAGTCACGTTTTGACTTACCATGGTAAATGGCTTGAACTTATGYAGCAYCTTATCAAGCCCACTTGGTGTTTTACACTTCAAACATTCACCCATTCACACACTGATGGTGGTAAGCTGCAGCCACAGCTGCCCTGGGGCACAGTGACAGAGGCGGGGCTGCCATGCACCAGTGCCACCGGACCCTCTGACCACCATCAGTGAGCAAGGTGGGTGTCTTGCCCAATGACACAATGACTGAAACGGYTGGACGAGGGATTGAACCGGCGACCTTCTAATTTCAGGACAACTCTCCTAACCACTCCACCAYGGCCTAACTATAGCTAAAATGCCAAATTGACCATAACTCATCCATTTTTAGATATACTCAGCTCAAATTTGGGATGGTAATAGATCCCAATGGCCTCCARCAAACATTAAAATCAAATTGTCTTTTCAACTGTATGGCACGTTTCAAGCCCGTTCATAGTTTCTCCAGGATCTAGTTGAATTTTTAAATCAATAAAATGTAACAGATATTTCAGGTTTACACCCGACATTAGTTCATCATAACTGTCCTCATAAACTCCACTGGATGACACTGTGGAGCATCAGAACCACAAAAGATCAGTGAATCTGTCACTTCTGTTCTTATGGATCAGCATGAGGTTGATTGTGTTGAAGATGGAAAGTCTTCCTGACGTTTGAATCTTACCGATGACAGTCAGCATGCCGGAGGATTTGGAGGTCTTTGCATCACATTCGTATTCAGCTTCATCATCAAACACAGACTTGTGGATGATGAGGATGTGTTGGCGGCCTTGAGCAATGATTTCATATTTCTTTCCTTTTCTGATTTCACTTCCATCTTTACGCCAGCAGACCTGCGGGACACGAACAGAGAGGGGGTTTTAGCCACAGGTCTGACTTTGGTCCACAAAGACACACAGAAGATGAACTCACCTTGACGTCTTCTCTGGAGACTTCACACTCAAACCTGGCAGATTCCTTCTCTTTGACCTCCACGTCATGGAGCGGCTTGGAGAACTCCACACGTCGAACTGTTCCCATAAAGACAGAGTCAACACTCAGTCATACAGTCAGCTCAACTTTAAGGGTTTCAAACTGGGTTTAGTTAAAGAAAGAGGTTCAGAATTCAAGTTTTATGGGTATTCTAGYAGACAAATCCTTGTCCTAAAGGTTTGCTCAACACTTACAGATGATGATGATGCTAAAGGGTTTGTGGGACATCTGAACTTCACTGAGCCTTAAACACAACTCAAAACCTGACAATAAACTAAAGGCACGGCTCTAAAAGCTTCCTCTGAACTCCTGTTCTTTAAAGAACTTCCTGTTTGTGACGCAGTCTCAGCTGGACTCACGCTCTACGTTGAGGAAGCAGGAGGTTTTGAAGTCCTTGGAGTCACACGTATAAGTCCTGGAGTCGTCCAGGGTGCAGTTGTGGATGAGCAGCGCCCTCTTGCAGCCGTCGACGATCACGTCRTACTTCTTGGACTTGCGGATGTCCTGTTCGTCCCTGAACCACTGTACCTCTGCGCCCTCTCTGGAAACTTCACACTCAAGTGTGGCGGTGGACTCCTCCTCCACCGTTTGGTCCTCCAGAGGTTTTGTGAACTCTATCGGTTGTTCTGAACACAAATATGTAGGTTCAGTTAAACACTGACAGTTTAAGATCTGATCATTGGGCCTCGAGCAAGAACCATTGGTACAAACAGATATATTAAGTTGTGCGTACGAGTGATTTAGGAGAACTTATAGCATTCACCAATTTTCTTGTATTGTTAGATTTTCTTCAGATACAAACAAAATTCATGAGTGGTCCAGACCTGTGGTTTAATTTACATGCAGTCAGTCTGATGTTATCTAGACCAGTGGTTCTCAAACTTTTTRTCTTCTGACCCACAAAATATCCATGGCAAAATCTTGTGACCCCAAATATTACTGGTCTGAGTACACGAATTTCATTAATAACCCTAAAAACACAGGCTTTTTGACAATCTAAACAGCTTATACACAAATATAAATACTTATTTATGCTTAAGTTGTGTTTTTGTAATAATTATAGGGAATATATTACATCAGCAATTATTTTATTACCCTTTAAATTGATTTCTGGAGATTATCCAAGGTGCTTCATGACCCATAATTGGGTCCCAAGCCCAACTTTGGGAACCAAAGTGCAGTGGTTCCCAAAGTTTTCAGCTTTTGACCCACAAAATAACAGTAGCAGAGACCTGAGCCCCCAACTGTTTCTGGATGATAAACATTTGTATCAGGTCAACTAAACATGGGCATAGTAACAATATTTTTATACTACATTTATCCATTTTAAATACACTAACCTCACTCCTTTGTAACAACTGAGGCAAAAATGTAATTATTTCAGAAAATCTTTTCAGGACCCCACCTTGATGTTTCAGGACCCCACTTTGGGTCCCSACCCCAACTTTGGAAAACACTGATCTAGACTGATTTTCTTCACTAATAACTTCATATTTCATTAGTTTGACAATATTTTTGAGTTGAAAATAAATCACATAATTATGTTGACAGTAGGTTATTCTGTTTGAAATGGAATTAGATTTTAATGACATAAATTGATTAGATTAAGTTAAATTGTCTTTTAATGCTGTTGTATAACACTAAAATATTAATATGAAGATATCAAACTCAAACCAACTTAAAAATCTTCAACAGCTTTATTCAGACAGCTTATTATTATTTTTTTATTATATGGTTTTTTTAATCAAATTTTATTTTGTTCATAGTTTTTCAACACATCAGCTATGCATGCAAGACTGTCTGCTATTTTCTAAAGAGAGATGAATATGATGTAGATTTTTATGTCTGTGACTGTAACGACCCACAGGAGACACAACATTAACATTTCATTCCTCGGCTTCAGCAGGTCTGACCTGCTAAAAATGACAGATTTTCTTTTCTGGATCTCTGAGAGCAGAACTTCTATCTCTGAACTCGTAAAGTTCTTCTTTTTTACTTTGCGATGTCATTTATGAATGGACACTTCCTGATATCTGAGGCAGGAAACACCTTATATGGTGTTATTGTGGTGGTAATTATGTTAATCTCCTCTCCTGTGTATGAGCAGCTGATACATTCATCAGTTTACGCAGCTCATTTACACACTTTTCATGAAGATAGAAGAGTTTGTTGAATCTGACGTGACATGTTCGTACGAACCCTTCATAAGAACAAAAGGAAGAGAAATTTAGGATAAAAATACGAATTTGTTCTTGCATGAGGCCCAATGTTCAGACTGTAGAGACAGCTGGATCGAAGCGGGTCTTTAAACCCTGACAGGAGCAGAATCAGAACTTGTACCTTTAACAAAGAGGCTGGCCTCGGTCTGGAAGTCCTTGGCGGTGAGTTTGACCTGTCCAGCTTCACTCAGCTGGACGTCTCTGACCGTAACGCTGTAAACTTTCCCATCTGCCTTCACCACCACCTGAAGATGCAACACAACCAGAGTTATTGTTCCTGAGTACCGTCTGGCAGGTTACACTGTCAGGGTTTGGTCTAATGAAGCTCTGAGTGCTGAGGTATTAGTGGGTGAAGAATTCCCTGAGTGCTGCCTCTCAGGTTTACCACAGATGGAAACCTGTGGTATCTCCTGCTGTGCAAACCAYAACCCTCAGCTGTCAGACTTCATTAGACCATGAAACGGTTGGTTTTTYCATCCTACATTCTGACAGCTTATATTCTGGTTACAGTTGGTAAACCTAGCAGGTTTGAACTAAAGATACTGGACTTGCTGCAAATCTCTCTTCCATCCCCCACACCCCCTCTCCCCAGGACCATTGGGGTCATCAGGAGCAGTTCAATGTGGTTTTTGAAACAGTAAACATTTTAGTGAGAACATCTTTGTTTAAATAAGCTGAGATTCACCTGACAGACTCTACTGAGGGCAAACTTTAGCCTTCATTCCTTGAAGTTCCTCTGCTTCTCTAAAACTGATGTGACAGACATGTTTATCACTTCAGTTGTGTCCACAAACATCTAAAAACATCTAACTGCCTTTAATTAGACCAATGAGACTGTGCCCTGGGTACGGTTTGACAGGCTCTAGGTTCCTGATTTTTGCCTGCTCAGGCTACATGATCTCAGACCTGATTTCCCATGTGATCCAGTATTTTCTCAGGCCTGAACCTGCAGAGCTCTGACAGCTTCAACACACACAGACAGCTGCTTTCCTTCCCAAATTTAAACCGGGGGACCTCTAACCTGTGGCGGCTGACTTTTCCACACCTACTCTGCTTACAGCAGCAGCCAGAGTGCACCAGCATGTCACAAGTATGTACTGTAAGATGAAACAAGTGGACCATTCCAGCAAAGTGTTGTTTGAAAACCATGAAAGATGTTGAAACATGGATCAGGATGTTTAACACAACAGAAAGTTCTTTTTAAAACTCAGTCTGTCAGAACTCTACTGTCTTTAGTTCTGGTGTAAACTGCTGCATGTTGAGTCAAAAACCAGCCCTCTCCCTGTGTTTAATGTCTTAAAGTCTTTATCAGTCAGTAAATGTAAACTTTACTCTGCAGACAGCAGAAAAACCAGCTGCAGCTTTGGTTTAGTTTCCTGAGATCAGGTGAAAAGTGTGAACATCATGCTGACCATGTTTCAGAACATCTCTATGTAAGAGCAACAACCCCACAGAACCAGCAGGCCCAGTGCTTTCAAACCCGACCCGCTCCTCRGCCTCCTGGCTGCTGTTAAAAATAAACCCACAGAAACGCTTGCAGGGCAGAAAAACCTCCCTGCTTGCGTTTTCTCAAAACCAGGATCGAATGCTCAGCTGGAATCCTTAACCTCCACCTGCAGGACCTTATAAGAACAGACAGGGGCCTGGATCTGGAGCAGAATCAGGACTGGACCTGGACTGTCAGTGGGTCTTGTGTTTCAGGAAGTGTCAGGTGTTTTTGGACTTACTCTGTCGCTTGGTTCCAGCTTTGTTCCCTCCAGGAACCACTCTACAGCGAGGCCTTCGTAAGTCAGCTCGCACTCGAAGGTGGCGGTCTCCCCGGCGGTCACAGTCACATCCTTCAGAGGCCTGGTCAGGCTGATCACTCGGGCTTCGGATTGGGGAGAAGACATGATTAGTCACCACTCCTGAAAATGGGCCAACAGATCCAGAAGAGTCCCCACAGAGAAGCAGCAGGTCCTCAGCGGCCTGTCCTCATGGTGTGGCTGAGGTGACGGCCGGCTGCAGGAAGCCTCGAGGACAACTGAAGTCCGCCACCCTGCAACTTGGCACTGAGGCTACCTTCATTAGCATACGAGCTGCTGGCAGACTAACACAGCCAGCAGAAACCAGTAAAACACGAGGTCATGACCTCGGCCCTGCCAATCACTGAGGACCTGCTCTGGATAAGGCATGCAGCTTCTAAAATAACTGAGGGGCCTGATTGGCTAACGGCCCACATCTTCCAAAACCATGAGAGGAAGCCAGTCTGTTCCTGTCAATCAGCAGCTGCCTGTAATTTCCCTGGAAAAGGAGAAAGTGGAGCTCCTGGTACGAGTCACACAACGCTTCGCTGCAGAAACCGTCTGCAGCTTGTTTGTGTGACGCAGACCTGTCACCAGGTCCAAGAGGTTCTGGTTCCTCAGAGCAAACGGAGCTGTGGGACGTCCGTTTGGATTAACGAGCAGTTAAAAGTATTTACAACAGGCTTCTTCACATGCCTGAACTAAAGCCTTTAGCAGCCAGCTGGTAATCTGACAGGTTTAACAGTTAGATGTGAGCGATGACTCCCTCTCTGACAGACAATCAGCAACAAGAACTTCTGTCCTACAGGCTCTGTCAGGTCCTCAGAGGGGGCATCACGTGTTAGGATGGAGCTTTACTGCAGTTTCACACATTTAAACCACGTTTTCATCCACTGTATTAAAAATATATTTTTAATGATAAAAAATGAAACAAAAACTGCTCGTTTTAAATCTGTCAAAATAAAATGAGATCAACCCATGCTCTCATGTTCCTTTGGATGGGAACCTCAGACTCACTGCACCAGGCAACATGCCTTCTGAACCAGAAACTAAGTCTTAAAGGAGTTTGATGTCAAAGAAAAGTTGTCCTGTTCGATTCACAGTGTAAAGAGGAAGTTAGGAGTTCTCTGCAAAAGACTAAAAATTACAAGGAGAGGAAAGAAGACGGAGAGCCCCCTGCAGCCTCAGGCCAAGGGGGCTCAGGTGACAGAAGATTCCATAAATCTGAAGATTTGAGCATCAAGTATTAAAACTCTTGTGGATCACAAAATTTCATCCATAAGAGCCAGGACAGTTCAATTCGTACAGTACTGAAGATCCTACACATCCAAATATTACAGCTAAATGACTGCAGCCCCTGTTAGGGACAGATATTTCACATTCTCTACGTTACCTCAGCTCCGCTTTAAGATTCATTAAAAGAGCTACTAAAAGCCCTACAAGACAAAGACATTCAGTTTTGACTCTTCAAGCRTGTCACAAGTTTCTGTGGTGGTAAAACATCAGGTGCACGGCTTCTACCAACGTTTGAGGTGTTTTTAGGTTGTTTTTGTACAACAGCACTCCAGGTTTTTAAATGAATTCAGCTCATGCTCCAAGTGCAGTTTGATCAATTTGATCCTCTTCCTCCAGATTTTCTCAGTCAAACCTGATGAACCTGAGTCTGGAACCCGGTTTACTGAATCCTTACTGTCAGTTTGTTTCACCTTTGACTCTGAGCTGAGCTGCAGATTTGGCATTTGCTGCTGAGAAGTCGACACTTCCAGCCATGTCCATCCTGCAGTTGTAGAGGGTTAGAGTGTGTCGGGCTCCTTCCACCTTCATCTCCACGTCCTGAAGACAAACATCTACAGTTCACTTCTGCCACATGTGTCCACACTAAGATCCAGTAGAACTGGACTGAACAAACTGTTCATCAGAGCAACACCTCTAGGCACTTAGACTAAGAACTGGCTCCACCCCTTTTTGGCCTAAGCACATGGCTCCGCCTTTATTTGGCCTCACTTATTTCCTCAGTTAGCTACATTAATGCCTTTGATATGAATGTTTTCTTTGAAACTGTATTAACAATCTGTATCTATGTTTCGTTTTTTAAGCCTTTGAAAGAACTGTTTTCAGTCATTCATAACTAACCACATAACTTATTAATTTTTTGACATATTTAAATTAAGTTYGTTATTGAATCTTTCTCTGTTGCTAAACTGAAGCAACACATCTTTGCTGACCTTCTCTGTTTAAAGATAAATAAAACTGGTATTTTTTAATTCATTCCACCAATATATAAACAAACGAATAAATAAACAGAATTAATTTTAACCCAAAAAGGGGCRGAGCTTTTAAACAAATAAAGGAAGTTAGTGGTGTTGCTCCACTTTATCTGGTTCTAAACAGTTTGTTTGTCAAAGGAGACAGATTTATGTGAACCACGTTGCTTTTAGTTTGGTGTTTATGTTTCCTGGTGTTTTCAGTGTTGTCTTACAGCAGACGGGTGGAGCGTCTCTTCCTTCAGTTTCCAGATGGCGTGGAGGTCATCCTCAGAGATTTCTGTCTCAAACATGGCGGTCTCAGTCTCTGTGACCTCCACGCTGTAGAGCGGGCGGGTAACCTTAATGTCGCGCTCTGTGGAGGCGCAAACAGGCGTTAGAGACAACCAAAGCCAGGCTGAATGTGAATGGACTCTCCAGGTTGATGATGGTGTGGGAGGGACAGCAGATAAATGAAGACAGGAAGTGGACATGAAGACAGGTGACAGGTTGGATGAGTGGCTGTCGCTCTGATTTAGAGCAACTTACAGAAACACAGTGAAACTCACCAACCTGACATCCTCTGCCATTTGATGTTAATGGGGATGGGACAACAGATAAATGAAGACAGGAAGTGGACATGAAGACAGTGAGAAGACATGAAGACAGGTTGGACGAGCGGCTGTCGCTCTCATTTAGAACAACTTACAGAAAATCTGACATCGACAGTTAACCAGTACAAGACATAAAGATGGAGGATGGAGAAAAAATGAACAGCAGTCCAGATGGAGGCGGGGCTTTGCTGGTGGGCGGGGCCTGACTCTGGGTGAGGGGTTACCTTCGATGTTCAGGTCTGCAGTGGTTTTGTCGGTGCCACAGTCGCAGGCGTACGCCCCCATGTCTCTCTTCGCTGCCCTCTTGAGGACCAACGTACGCTTCCTGCCGTCGGCCTGGAAGAGAACGTTCCTGGACGGAAAGATCTCGTTCCCGTCTTTGAACCACTTGACCTCACCGCCAGCCTTGCTTAGTTCACAGGACAAGACCACCTCATCCTTTTCCACGGCGGTGTAGTTTTGGAGTTTCACTGTGAAGTAGAGGTCGCCCTCTGCAAGAAGACACCCGTGAAAACTGAAGCTCAAACCACAGACACAGAAGTTTAGAGGAAGTTCAGCTCTAAGAAGAGCAGAGGTGAGGGAGCGTTTACTGACAACATCCAACTAGAAGACAATACTAACCCAGAACAGTCAGCATGGCTTCTGACTTCTTTCCCATGGCCTCAACTTTAATCATGGAGGTGTCATCAAGCGTGACCTCCTTAAAGGCTAGCGTGTGGACTTTTCCTTCCTCCGACATGTGCACCACCTTACTGGGGTGCAACCGGACATCGTTTCTGTACCACACTACTGGTATTTGATCATGAGAGAGCTCAACACTGAACTCTGCAGTTTCTCGCTCCTTTACTGTCACGTCTTTTATCGGCTTGATAAACTCAAGACGGATACCTGACAAAGAACAGATTGCATTTCAAAGTGTACAAAGCACCTGCAGATTCTTTGAGTTCACTGGTTTTTAAGTGTTTTATCAGTGAAAGGCTTCAAACATGGTATTTATTCTGTTCACACCACACTCTTCCCATGTGAAAAGAAAGAAAAACAAAGAGGCTCCAACTTTTTTACCTTTAATAACCAGTTTTCCCGACGTTCTCTTGTCTTCAGCCTCAAACATATATTTGCCTTCGTCTTCATATCGGGAAGATTTCACAATAAGAGCATGTTGATTACCATCTACTAAGATTTCAAACTTGTCGTCATTCGACAACTCCTGAGTTCCCTTGAGCCAACGGAAACTTTTGGGTTCCCGAGAAATTTCCAGCTCAAACTTAGCCTCGTCCTTTTCGTACACGTGCATGTCAGCCAGCGGCGTAATGAACGAGACAGGAAGCTCTGTTGGTTCAGACATACAGAGTTACCGCCCAGGTCCATTTCTCAGGAAACAACAGGTCAAGTTTGATTTGGTACAAAATCTAGACCCTGATGTTCTATAAATAATATGATCAGGTATATTTATATGTAACATTTAGCTCTGATTCAAACACTGTAAAACTCTTTTACATTTGATTATTTCTTGTTGTCTTTGCTGCAATAAAAAGCTATAAATCAAAAAGATCAAACAAAAGACTTGTTGGAGCTCCCTGTGCTGAGCTGGAAGACTGAAGGAGGAGGAGCTCACCCTTCACTTTCAGGTTAGCAGCACACTTGGCGTTGGCGRCGGTGAACACCAGCTCGCCTGTCTGAGGAACTTTACAGTTGTACAACACCAGAGTGTGTTTCGCTCCATCCTCCACRATTTCCACATCCTGCAGGCGGCCAACAAACTTTAGCAAGTCAGCAAAAACACTGATGACTGGGCAGAGTCCTGACTAAAGACCTGACTCGTTACAGAAAGTCTCAGTTTAAATAAATAAGAAGGAATTTAACTACAGGTTAGATTTATGGGGACGTACAGCAGACGGACTGAGGACTTCTCCGTTTAGTTTCCACTGGCCGTGAACGTCATCCTCACTGAGCTCGATCTCAAAGCGAGCCGTCTCTCCTTCTAACACCTCACAGCCATACATGGGCCGAACCACCTTGATATGGCGAGCTGAGGTTCAAGAAAGGGAACATAAGCTTAATAAGGATATTCAGACTCATGTGCAAAGAAAGCTATCTGGAACAGACGTGATGACAGCAGACAAACAGGAAGATGGTAGACTGATACAGAGACATGCTGGAGGTTCTGCTCCATCAGAAACCTCCTTCAGCAGGTGGTGAGTAAACCACAGGGCCATAAACAACCATGGCTCTTAAAAAGACCCATCAGGTTCTTTATGGATCCATTGCACAGGTGTAACGATGAATAAGAGGGTTTGTTAGAACACATGGAGCAATAAGACAGCTGCAGAAGGACACAGCCACAGACTCATCTAGAGACCGCGGTGTGTTTCTTTCACATGGAATGAGAAGGAAGGAATGATGGCAACAAAAAGACAGTTYAAATAGAACAAAGTGCAGAAGAAGGTCTGAGAGGACATGGGGTGAAGTTAGAGGATGGAGCAGGTGAAGGCGTGCATCCAGGAGGCTGACAGTGCTTCAACACTTGGGCATCTTTACCTTCAATGTGAAGCTCTGCTGTGGTCTTATCTGTCCCACAGTCGCACACATACTGTCCTTTGTCTTTGTCTCCGACCTTCCTGATGACCAGGGTTCTGCGTTTGCCCTCTGCTTTGATGGCCACCGCCTTAGAGGCCTTGATCTCAGCCTCGTTGTGGTACCACATGAYGTCCACGTCTTTGCTGAGCTCACAGTCTAGAGACACATTGTCTTTCTCCACTGCAGTATAATCCTGCAGCTTGACTGTGAAGTAAGGGTTTCCCTCTGAAAGGGGGACAGTGTAAGTGACTCTCCAGTACACATGTGGGACATGGAACCACACAGAGAGGACAGATGATAAAACACCACACAGAAAGACAAAGTCCTTTGTGGACCCATACAGACAAACATAGACGCTCTTAACAAAGCACTGTGGAGAAGAAAGACAAAGAGGACAGCAGAGGACAGGTGGTTGTTCTTGGATTACCTATAACTGTCAGGTTGGCCATGGAAGGAATTCCTTTGGCCTCAGCTTTAATCTGACAGATATCATCTAGAGTCACATCCTTTATTTCTAGAACGTGTTTCTTTCCGTCCACGTGAGTGACGACAGCTCGGCTCGGGTGGATTTTCACATCGTTCTTGTACCAGGTGACAGGGATGTTGTCGTGGGAGAGCTCCAGCTCAAAGCGAGCTGTTTGGCCCTCCTTTACTGTTTGATCCTTTAACGGCGAGAGAAATTTGAGCCTGATACCTATAAAGGTGTTAATAAAACACGTCCACATGAGTTAAGCACCTGAGGGGACACACTCAGAAAAGTTCCACCGTTTGGTCCGGTAACGGTAGTCCAGCACTTACCCTCCACTGTCAGTCTAGCTTTGGACGTTTTGCCCAAAACTTCAATCATGTATTCATCCTCATCATCAAACTCACAGCAGTTTATCACCAACATGTGCTTCTTTCCATCATCAATGATGTCGTACTTTTGGTCAGGGGTGACGATGTCAGCCCCTTTATACCACATGACCTTAGTGACATCCTTCGTGATGGTGCATTCAAACTTAGCCTGTTTCTTTTCAGGCACACAGACGTCCTTCAGCGGGACAACAAAGTCCATTTCGATTTCTGGTTAAAGGACAAAACAGGGACAAGACATCAACAACAAAACAACAGAACATTGAACAGCGAGAGGCCAGTTTTACATCCCAGCTCATCCTGAATGAAAGGATAGAAATCATGTTGGGGAGATCTTCATGTAAAGCAAAGGAATGTCATCTGCTTCGGCTCAGACTCCACAAGTCCAAGGTAGAGTGTCTTCACCTTCCTGTCCAGCTGGGATCAAGTGGTCTGCAGCAAATCTTCAAGTGAGCCCTCTTTGTCTTGGTGGTGTGCTGAGGAGCCTCAGCCTTCTGCTGCTCTTCAAACATTAAATCAGTTTCTAAACCTTTCTTTTTCATAAAGCTATAGTCACATGACATCTTGAAACCCAAACCCTGATCCTCGAGACAGAAAGAGACATTTACACACAGAAACCGAATCAGGCCAACGGGCAGGTTTACACGTTCCAAAGAGAAAACAAACAGATCAACTGAAAACCAGCAGGAAAGTCAAATCCTGCATCAAACAAAGTGGCTCAAACTTGGTTTGAAACTCTGGTAAGGTCTGCTTCCATGCTTTAGAGCTTTATTWGATTCCCCACAGACCTTAAACCTCTTTCTATTCTTATAGTTATGACCTAAGCATCAGGGTACGCCCTGGTTTTCCTCTGAACACGGACCACCTCTTACCTTTCACATTCAACATGGCGGTTGTGACAGCGTTCAGAGCCTGGTAGGAAACCTCTCCGGCCTGATCCAGCTGGCAGTTCTTCAGCATGAGCCTACGCACGGTGCCTTCCATCTGGATGTCGCAGGTCTGATGATTACATCATAGTAACGTTTAAAGATCAGGAATATTAGCATCTTAATGCGTGCTGTGAAACWTTAGGAAATAACACTGTTCGTACTGGAGATCTGGTCAAAACTTCTCCTTTCAGCTTCCACTCCCCTGGAACATCRTCCTCAGATATCTCTGTCTCAAACGTAGCATCTTCCTTCTCTATGATGTCAACACTGGCCAGGGGCTTCAGGATCTGAGCCTCCCGGTCTGYAGACACGTATCAGAACACAGAATTAAAACACAGATACAAAATGCACACCATCAGAAGAACTACGATGAAAAAGATAAGAACCTCCTAGAGTGAGCTTGGCTGTGTAGACACGCCCTTCCACTTCCAGAGAATAATCTGCTACATCGTCTGGCTGACAGTTCTTGATGGTCAGAGTCAGCTCCTTTCCGTCCTTCTTGATCTCGATCTTGTCCGACGGCGTGGCCTCGKTCTCTCCTTTGAGCCACTTCCAGTTGGGAGTGTCTTTGAAGAGCTCACACTTAAACACAGCTGTGGCTTTTGGTTTCACGTGCTGGTCTTTAAGTGGTCTCACGATCCAGTCTTTGATAATTTCTGTTGGAGGAAAACATCAGTCAGCTTCCATCAGAAGAGACCAAAATCAAGGGATTTCATTGATTTTAATTTGTTGTAAGAGGTAACTTTTTTACATTATTTCTTAAAAATACCTCTTGAAAGGCTAAAAAAGCTTTAAGTTAAGGTTTGTTTGAATGTATTTGTAAGAAAACATGTTTATGAATAAAATCTGTGATTTCTGTTTTGCATGTTTGGTGTTGTTCAATGTTAAGTTCTGTGTAGCTGGGACTTTTGGTCACCAGGGGGCAGTGTTGTTCATGTTGACRTTTGTTTTGTTTTGTTGTCTTTGTACCTCCTGTTTATGCTTAGATTCAGCTGGAGAAACATGAGGTTTAGTAAAAACGATTGTTTTTTGATTCTCRCGCCTACTGCTGGATCTTGTGCACATTTTGTTGAGGTTGTCATGTCTAAGCTTTCAGATTTGCCAGAGGGTTTAGTAAATGTACTTTCTGTTGGTTTGGACAGTAGAAGATCAGCACAAATGGCTACACCACCCTGACTCTATATCCTGCATGTGTCAGTAGTTTCTTTGCTCCAACACGCCTGATTCARAGGTKRACAAACCTCCACAGGACGTCTCACTCAGCTTTAATTGTCTGACTGGTTTCTATCTTACCAATCACTTTGACGTTTGTGGAGGTCTTGACGTCTTCCTGTCCAGAAACTTCACAGGAGTAACAACCAGCATCTTCTTCTGCCGAGCCCTGGATGGTCACGGCGTGCTGCATGCCGATGATGTTGATCTGAATCTTGCCCTCCTTCTTTTTCAGGACTTCTCCATTCTTCTTCCAGACCACCTCTCTCTCTTTGTTCAGCTCACAGGTCATGTAAATGGGCTGACCTTTTATTGCCGATGTCTCCTCTTCAAGTTCTTTGATCCATTTTACAGGAAGCTCTGCGGAGATGCAAAGGAATTAGACATTTTATTTGTGGAAGTTCAAGTCTTTAGTTGTAATAAAAGTTTAAAAAGATACCTTCAACTATGAGCTTGGCGGTGCATGTGATCTCCTTGCCAGCGTTCTTAGCCACACAGGTGTATTCACCGGTGTCAGACAGCTGGACATCAATGATGTGCAGCTTACGGTCTTTGCCATCAGAGGTGAACTTGTGCTTGGGACTTTCGCGTAGATTACCGCCATCTTTCATCCAGGAAGTGACAGCAGTGGAGGGTGAGACCTCACACTCAAACACAGCAGAAGATCCGATGGACTCGGCCTCCTGCAACACGATGTCCTGAAGCTTCTTGATGAACTTCAGGGGGACAGCTTTCAGTTTGAAGCCTGCAAACGGTTCCTCTGGAGGTGTTGGGCCTCTACCACCAGGTCTCAGGCCACGCCCCCTGCCCTCTCCAGGAGAAGGGGTCTGCTTGGCTGGAACACAATTTAAAATCGATCAGAAAACTCTGATTTAAAGGATCTGGATTTATTTTCCTGAAGATGACACTTACGTCTCAGGCCTCTGCCTCGACCTCTTCCTGCCTCCTCTGCTGGTTGTCCCTCTGTTCACAAACAACAAGTTAACTCTTTCAGAAACCCAGAGATGACATGTCGCTGATGCTTTCATGGATTTACAGATGTGAGCTGACTCATGAAGTAATGAGAGTAAAATGAGGACAGACAGGAGCAGAATGCTGGATAATGAATAAAAACAACTTCACATCTTTCTTTAGGAGACAAACATGAGTTAAAGATGACATGAGAGGATGAACACATGTTGGGGAACAGAATGAGATAATGCTGAAATGGCAGACAGATGATCTAACAAGATGTCAGAACGAGATGAAGACGATGACACAAAGAGTGATGATGAAAGAACAACGATGGCGTAGACCACATGACAGTGATGACACGGTGCGGTGGACATGGAGGCGTTATGGTGGAGATGATTCAAGCCATGATGGGAGGTGGTTCTTGGTCACCAGCCACACGTTTGATAATCCACCATCTCACCTCTCCTGGTCACCCCCGGAACCTCCAGAGCACCTTCTTCCTCTTCACCTTCCCAGTCCTCGGAGCCGTAACTGTCCCGTGGAACCAGCTCCCAGCCCCATGCCTCTTCTCCCTCCATCTCCGCCTCCTCCTGTGCTTCAAACTCCTCCTCGAACACCTCCTCCTCTGGTTGGGTGGAAACCTTTTTCATCTGCACGGCTCCAGGAGAGACTTCCTTACCCAGGGGAACTTTGGCTTTATGGGGCTCTGCTGGTTCTGCAGCCTTCGGTTCTTCTGGTGATGGTTTCYTTGGAACTTTTTTAAGAGTCACAGCTTCAGTCGAGTCTTTAGGTGAAACAGTTTTTGGAACCTTTTTGAGTTTCTCCACACTTGGTCTTCTCTCAGCTGGGACTGCCTCTTTGAGCTTTTCGACTTTAGGAGAYGGTGTCTTTTTGAGCTGTCCCACTGGCTTCAGAGCCACCTCTTCCTTCTCCTCTTTCTTCTTAGGTATGACTCCTTTCTTTAGCTCCAGAGCTTTGGGCTCCTCAGCCATCTTCTCAGGTTTCTTAGCAGGGACTGCAGCAGGAGTCTTTTCTCCTGGAACTTCTTCTACCTCCTTTGGTTTCTCTGGTTTTTTCTCTGAAACCTCTGGGACCTCAGGTTTCTTTGGCCTAGCTTCTGGTTCTTTAGCTTTTGCTTTTTCAACAGGACTTAAGCGACGTTGCTGAAGGTCATCCAGTGGTTTCTTTACTTTCTCCTCTGTAAGTTTCTTCTCAGGCTCGGCAGGTTCTTTTGAAGGTTTGGAGATGGGCTTCAGCTTGACTTCCTCCTTCTCCTGTTCAGCCACTGGGATCTTCTTCCCTTTGATAGATGGTTTGACCTCCTCTGGCTCCTTCTCTGGCGTTTTCTTCTTGTCAGCTGGCTTAGGCACCTTGGGAGGAGGTTCCTTTATCTCAGGAGGTGGCTCCTCGGGTTTCTTTGCTGGTTCCTTAGAGTCCACCTCTCTGGGGATCCTCTCTGCCTTCTGGAAAGGCACAGTGTCTCTGTCGGGCCTCTCCTTCTTCTCCTTCTCTGTTTCCTCTGAAGGTTTACGAGGCTTCTCAAAAGGTTTTAGTTTGACCACTTCTGGTTCAGCTTCAGCTAAAGGCAACTTTTTGACTTTTTTCAGGGCTGCATCAGATGGGGTGGCTTCCTCTTCTTTTGGTGCTTTTGGAGTTTTCTTTAGAGAAATCTTGTCTTCTGGTTTTTCATCTTTAGTGGGTTTCTGGCGAGTCCATGCAGCTTTAGGAGCTTCTTTGTCTTCCTCAGCTTTAGCTTTAACAACCTCTGGCTTTTTCACCACTTCAGCTTTGTCTCGAGGCTTCCTCTCCTCCATCGTCGTCCTGGTGACCACAGACAACTCGACAGCCTCCTCTTCGTGCACCAGCTCCTCCACATGGAAAACTGTGGCTTGGGTGACTTTCTGAGGTTTTTTCTCCTCTTCAGGTTCTTTAGATGGAACTGATGGGATCTTCTTCAGCGTGACAACCTCCTGCTCTTCTTCCACTTCCCTCATGACCCGAGTTGTTTTCTTTAAGGTGGGAATCTCAAATGTCCCCTCCTCTTCCACACGGATTTTACCTTTTTTGTGCAGAACCAGCTCTAAGGCAGCAAAGGTCTGACATTACTTCAAGACATTGGACTGACATCACAACTACACAAATGCTCACAAAATGTGTAAAACTAGAGAATACACAAATACACGGAGTGTGAAAATACAAAAGAAGCAATTCTGGCTCTTGTCAGGAAGTTATAACAATGTTTGAACAAAAACACAGGCCAAAGAGTATTTTATCTAAATAAACATAAAAGTTCTGTTTTCCTAAATGTTAATGTGGTCTTTGTTAAAATCAAAGCTGTATTGAGCCAAACAGAACCAGTTAGTGATGTATATACTGTATATGTACACTTTGGGGGCATAATGGTGGGCCAGAGTCATGGTTTRGTATGTTGGTGAGTACCTTTAGAAATTTTTACAACAATAAGCAAAACATAAACCAAGTCTTTTTCTAAATATTTGACCTGAACTTGATGCAAAACATAAAATAGTCCAGAAGTGAATAACAGCTTCTTATGTGAAAATTATACTAAATAAATGTTCAACACTCACACTGACATTCTCATTTAGTTAATACTTCTGTGATAAAATGATATTTGATATTAAATAAAAGGCTTTCCATAGATGTTTTAAAGAAGAGATAGTCAATCCTGGTCCTCGAGGTCCGCAGCCCTGCATGTTTAACTTTTTTTCCCTTCTCTAACATCTGATTCAGTCAGTGAATTACCTCTTCCAAGTTCTGCAGAAGCCTGAAAATCATCCATTCATTCAATTCAGGTGTTTTGGAGCAGAGAAACAAGTAAACTGAGCAGGGCTGTGGACCTCGAGGACCAGGATTGACTATCCCTGCTTTAAAGTATGTGATTTATGACACATTTGGCCTGTCGTACAGCTGCCTCTCATCTCTCCGTTGTTGCCATAGTTCACAGATAAATGTTCTGAATCAAACGAGTTTGAAGCTCCTGTGTTTGATTTAAACTAGTTATTCTTGCTTTGCTTTAGAGAAGAGTGCTTTAGACGTTCCACTGCTCCTTGTCTGTCTTGGCTGGGAGCAAAAAGTTCAAGTTTAAAAACCATGAATGTTCCTTTAACCTAATATTTGTACCATTACACCCCCACCCAACAGTGTTCAGGTGCTGCTGATTGGATGTTCTGAGGTGAGGTGGGAAGGAATTTGTTGTCTTACCTTTCTGAACTCCTCCTGGTGCCTGGACCGGTCCCTTGGTTTCATCTAATACAGAAGGACAGTTCAGAAAGCAGGCTATTAGTTACTGGTATCAACAACTGAATGACTACTTAACCCAGAAGAGATGAGACTTTTAAAATTTTTAAACATCCTGAGACAGAAAAGGATGATATCGGAGAGGTTAAGAATCAGCTGATTTAGCTGGACCACGAGAAGCTGTAATAAAGTTCAGCTATATCAGGTTTACAGATGTTCATCATGAGAAGAATAGAAGCACAGCAGAGAGGGGTCTGCACAGGTCAAAGGTCAAACTGACCCACATTATTAAAGATGTTTGCAAAGAAGAAAGAAGATGTGAGGCCTTTAACGACGTCTACCTGTAACTGGAGTTACTTTTTCCACCACAGCTGGTTTCTTCTCCTCTGGAGCCACTTTGGTTGGTTCTTCAGCCTTAGCAGCAGGCTGTGGCTTCATCACTTCAATTATAAGAAAAGATGAACCTAAAGTTCTGTCACCTTTTACTAAAACACACATCTTAGTCTTGTGTTGCTGTCTGAATACCTGGCTTTGTTTCTTCTTGTGGAGTAGCTTGTTTTTCRGGGACTTTTGGTTTTGCAGCTTCAGGAACTTTTACAGCAGCTTTTGGTTTGCTCTCTTTAAAAGCACAGAAGGTAGATCAACACAAAGACCTCAACAACCTGTTCATCTGAGAGCCTGGAGCCCAGAGACCAGATCGCATGCTGTTAGTCTACATTTAAGACCACATCATTTGATTTCTATGGGTTTCCTTTAACGGTCATTTAAGATAAAATTTCAAAGATTTTGATATGATAAAGACAAATAAGAAGCCGTGTACCTTCTTTAGGAGCAGCAGGTTTTGTTTCTTTCACCTGTGCTGGAGACTCCTTCTCCTTTTCAGGCACTTCAAGATAAAACCAGACATCAGTCAGACCCACATAAAGACGGTATCTTGAACCACTCACACTCAGAGACTACAAAGAAAAAACACCTGGAAGACCAAACAACCTCACCTTACTGTTGCCTGTAAAACAGGGCTGACACAACAAACACAGAATTAGGAAAAACAGTGAGGAAAAACCCAACATGAACTGTGCCGGTTTAGATGTTCACTGAAAGAATGACAGCTTGTCACAGGAAAAACAGTTTGTGCCCGAACAGAATGGGTGACGTGACATGGAACCCCTGAAACCACGATGGCACTATGGATCCCACAAGATGGTGAGGTTTGGTGCTCAGATCAGAAACATGTGATCAGTGACAGATTCCATCTCTGTACCTCTGGAAGCTTCCTGAAAGAAGAGACCCTCTTTGGTTGAGTCAGTCCTCTGGTCTTCTGGTTTTAGAGCTTTGTGTTCCTGAAGAGTTATGGGTTGGATATGGTCTGATTCTTGGAAATGGCCTGACTCTTGAGGAAGTCTGGGTCTAATGGGATCTGATTCTTGGATATGGTCTAAATGTTGGGGAAGTCTGGGCCAGACATGGACTGATTTATGGATGTGGTCTGATTCTTGGATATTGTCTAATTCTTGGATAAGGTCTGATTTTTGGATATAGTCTAATTCATGGAGAGGTCTGGATTGGATATGGTCTGGTTCTTGAATGTGGTCTGATCTTTGGATGTGGTCTAATTCTTGGGAATGTATGGGCTGTATATGGTCTGAWTCTTGGATATTGTCTGTTTCTTGAAAAGATCTGGATCTGACATCTGATTCTTTGACATGTTCTAATTCTTGGGGAAATTTTGACCTGATATCATCTGATTCTTGAAGTAGTCTGTCTCTGATATGGTCTGATTCTTGAAGAGGTCTGGCTTTGATATGGTCTGATTTGTGTATTTGATCTAATTCTTGAGGACATATGGGTTGGATAAAGTCTGATTCTTTGATGTAGTCTGGTTTTTGGGGAAGTCTGGGTCTGACATGGTCTGATCTTTGGATTTGGTCTAATTCCTGAGGAAGTATGGGTTGGATAAGGTCTGGTTTTTGGATACAGTCTGATTTTTGTATATGGTCTGATTCTAGAATAAGTCTGGGTCTGACATGGTCTGATCTTTGGATTCTGTCTAATTCTTGAGGAAGCATGGGTCTGATATGGTCTGACTCTTGGGGAGGTCTGATTCTGATTTGGTCTGATCTTCGGATTTGACCTAATTCTTGGGGAAGACTGGTTTGGATAAGGTCTGATTCTTTGGTGTAGACTGATTTTTGGATATGGTCTGATTCTTGAGGAAGTCTGTGTCTGACATGGTCTGATTTTTGGATTATGTCTAATTCTTTAGGATGTATGGGTTTCATGTGGTCTGATTCTTGGGGAAGTCTGGTTCCGATATGGTCCGATCGTTGGATTTGATCTAATTCTTGGGGAAGTATGGGTTGGACAATGTCTGATTTTTTGTTATGGTCTGATTTTTGGATTCTGTCTAATTTTTTAGGATGTATGGGTTTCATATGGTCTGATTCTTGRGGAAGTCTGGTTAAAATATGGTCAGTTCTTTGGATTTGATCTAATTCTTGGGGAARATTGGTTCTGACTTGGTCTGATCTTTGGATTCTGCCTAATTCTTGAGGAAGTATGGGACTGATATGGTCTGATTCTTGGGGAAGTCTGGTTCTGATATGGTCTGATCTTAGGATTTGGCCTAATTCTTGGGGAAGTATGTGTTGGATAAGGTCTGATTCTTTGATGTAGCCTGATTTTTGGATATGGTCTGATTCTTGGGGAAGTTTGGGTCTGACATGGTCTGATTTTTGGATTCTGTCTAATTCTTTAGGATGTATGGGCTTCATATGGTCTGATTCTTGGGGAAGTCTGGTTCCAATGTGGTCGGCTCTTTGGGTTTGATCTAATTCTTGGGGAAGTATGGGTTGGACAATCTCTGATTTTTGGATATGGTCTGATTTTGGGATTCTGTCTAATTCTTTAGGATGTATGGGTTTCATTTGGTCTGATTCTTGGAAAAGTCTGGTTCCAATATCGTTGGATCTTTGGATTTGATCTAATTCTTGGGGAAGACTGGGTCTGACTTGGTCTGATCTTTGGATTCTGTCTAATTCTTGGGGAAGCATGTGTTGGACAATGTTTGATTTTTGGATATAGTCCAATTTTTGGGGAAGTCTATGTCTGACCTGGTTTGATCTTTGGATTCTGTCTAATTCTTGAGGAAGTCTGGTGCTGATATGGTCTGATTCTTGTTCCTTGCCAGTGGATGGTGACAAGTCTGTTTGGTAGCCTGAAGTCCTGACTTGGGTCTGATCTGTTACTGAAGGCTCACAGACATCCTGGGATAAATAAAGTTTATTACCACCTGTTGTTGGTGGGATGAATGACAGTTGTTTCTCTTTGACTTTGGCAGACATTGATTCTTTATTGTCCTGCTTTAATGGGACAGTCAGACTATCTTTGGAGATATAATGTTCTTGTTTTTGAACTGAATCTTTAAAGATAATATCAGGTAAAGATGCTTCTGTAGTTCTACTTAATTTGTGTTTGATTTCTGTTCCTTCAGCAGCTGAATCAGTTTTTACTGTGACTCTATCATCTGACAGTGATTCGGCCATTGTCTGGCTCTCGTTTATTTTATTCCACTCAATCTGATGCATTTTTTCTATTTCATCTCCAGTGGTTTTATCCATTTTTACAGAAATATCCTCTGGTTTATAAATGATATTTTCTCTTGATGTGACTTTCATCAGACTATCAGATTTTTGGGTGGTAGCAGGCAGATGTTTTCTATCTGTAGTTAATAGTTTTTCATGTTTTACAGCTTTTCCAGATGTTTTTAAAGCTGTTTTATCTGTTTGCTGCTGCATTGAGGCTACATCTGGAGAAACTGTGTGGGTTTTTAACTGAAATTTTCCCRCCTGTCCCTTATCTGAATCATGTTCTCTGACTTTAACTTCCTCACACATTGGTGAAACATCTTTCATCAATATTTCCTTTGTGTGACTTCCTGATTGTATTTCATCTTCAACCAATGATGGGGCTTTTTCAGTTAATAATTGACCTTTGAATCCTTTCGACTGAYCCTTCTCATCTGTGATCCCCACCCTTCTGTCAGCAGACTCTAGTTTTACTGATTTATACGTATTAGTTCCTGTTAAATTAGTGTAATCCATCAGTTTGCCTAAAACTGTGAACCTTTGCAGAGCGTCTGCTTTAAAATCTCCGTCTCTGGAAAGTAGATATTTTTCAGAGGCGACCTCCATCACAGAACCGACAGAACTTCTCTCATCTTGTTCCTGTTGGGWTTCTGGTAAAAATGGAGAAATGTGACCATATTCATCTTTAACTGTTTCTGTCTTTGACTGAATTTCCTGTTGGGAAACTTTTGAATTTTTCTGACTCTGAAATGTTTCGGACTCTTCGTCTATGACCAACTGAGATCTTTCAGAAGCGACCTTCATCACTGGTGTCACAGAAAGTTTTTGTTCCTTTTGTGTTTCAGTGCCATCAGAAGGAAAAACATTTTCATATTCTTGTTTTAATACCACAGACCTGGACTGCTCAGCTGGAGATTTTAACCTTTTCTCCAGTTTCTGGTCGTCTTCTCTGTGAGATTTTATTTTCTCTACTGAACCAGCTTCTAACGTTTTATTAAACTGAATCTGTTCTTCTGCTTCTTTCTTTGGTGAAATGACTTTGAATTCTTCTCTCTCTTTTGTCAAATGTGTTTTTATTTCTGGTAAACTTTCTGTTTCTTCCTTCTGAATTGTTGTCTTCTCAGTTGAAGGAGTTGTTTTGGTTCTGTCTGTCACATTGTTTGGATGTTGGAGCTTTTCCACCTTTGTTTCAGAAACTGTTGTTCTACCTTCACTTTTCTCTGCTTTGTCTTCCGTCTTGGTGTGTTTATGGCTGATATGTTTGGTTTCTGAAGATGCTCTTTGCAGAAGTTTTAAATCTGTTTCTCTGCCAACATCTTTAACATCTGTGTTCTGGATCTCTTCAGTTGATCTTAGTTCTTGTCTTGTTGGTCCCATAAATGGTAAGGATTTCTGAATTTCATCCTCAGTTTCTTTGATCTTGTTATTTTTGTCTGATTTCTGTTGTTCATCATATAAAAGTTCTGATTTTTTGTCTTTTCTGTGGATCTCAGGTTGAAATGGTAACTGTCTCACTTTCTTCTCCTCAAGAGGAGACACATGTTTTTCATGTTTCTTTGACTGAAAATCTTCAGTAGTTTTGACCAARCTATCTTCTGTCGGACTGCTCTCACACTGACTGGTGTTTTTATTAAAGGGTTTAACTTGTGGGAGTTTTTCCTCTGGTGACTTGTGACAGATTAAATCATTTTCCTCTGGAACTCTGCTTCCTCTTTGTTTCAGGAGTTTTACAGTTTTCAGTTTCTTTTCAGTCCAGTTCTGTCTGAGATCTCTCTTTTCGGTCTGCTGTTCAGGATCAGCTTCAGGAACTTGAAGGGAAACTGATACTTTAGAGTCCTCATCCTGAATGGGTACTACAGAAGTCTGTCCATCTTCGGATGCTGGAAAACTGCTGGTGGTCAGTGAAGTCTGGATTTCTTCATGTTTAGTTGGTTTAAGTAGAACTGGTTCTTCATCAGGTCCAGTTTCCTCTGAAGCATCAACACCCATGATCTTCTCTGGTTCTGGTTTGGGTCCCGTCCCCTCAGTTAAAGGACATTCTCTGTCTGTTAGCTGGACTCTGAGGGACCGCAGATCGGTCAGATCTCCAATCTTTGGTATCCTCAGTGTTCCTTTAGTTGTGGCTCTGCCTTCAGGCTGAACCTCCTCCTGGTTTTTGTGAAGCTTTTCTTCAGTTTCTTTCTCCACTGAAGGTTTTTGACCATTGAATGTCAAACCAGGATCACCTGAGGCTTTGGTTTGAAACTCTGGTTCTGGTGGTTCTGGTGGTCTGTCTAGTGTTTTGCCTGGTGTTCTGTCTGGTGTTTTGTCTGTGGTTCTATCTGGTGTTATGTCTGGTGTTCTGCCTGGTGTTTTGAATTGTGTTCTGCCTGGTGATTTGTCTGATGTTCTGTCTGCTGTTATGTCTAGTGTTTTGTCTGTGATTCTGTCTGGTGTTCTGTCTAGTGTTTTGCCTGGTGATTTGTCTGATCTTCTGCCTGGTGTTTTGTCTGAGATTCTGTCTGGTGTTCTGTCTGTTGTTTTCTCTGGTGATATGTCTGGTGTTCTGTCTGGTGTTTTGTCTGGTGTTTTATCTGGTGTTCTGTCTGGTGTTTTGTCTGTTTTGTCTAGTGTTTTGTCTGAGGTTCTGTCTGGTGTTCTGCCTGGTGTTATGTCTGGTGTTTTGTCTGATGTTCTGTCTGGTGTTCCATCTGGTGTTATGTCTGGTGTTCCATCTGGTGTTATGTCTGGTGTTCTGTCTGGTGTTTTGTCTGTTTTGTCTGGTGTTTTGTCTGAGATTCTGTCTGGTGTTCTGTCTGAGATTCTGTCTGGTGTTCTGTCTGAGATTCTGTCTGGTGTTCTGTCTGAGATTCTGTCTGGTGTTC